CTATCAGCGCTCCTAAACGTGTCTGCTGATAGCAGCGCTATTGTTAGCCGGGGGGGGGAGGGGGGATACCCAGCGCCCCAGATCCCGCGCGGGGGAAGGGGCGCGTTTCGCCCACGGGTGCGCGCGCACCTGCCGGGGCGCGGGAGCGCGCAGGGGGCGCGCCGTGTCACCCCCCTCCCCTCGCCCCGCAGCTCCGCCGCCCCCCCATAGGTAAGGGGATATGCAGTGCGCACGGGCACGCGCGGACAGGCGCACGCTGCCGGCGCGCTGCCCGTCTCGCCCCTGCCCCCGCGGGCGCGGACACGGGCGGCGCCCCGCGCTGCCCCCGGCGGCCGCCTCCCTAATCCCGTGTCACGGGGGCGCGCGCACAGGGCCGGCAACGTGAGCGGCCTCGCGCGGCCGCGTCCCCGGGCACCGCGGGGCCCCGCGGCGGGAGGGGGGGAACACACGCACACACGTGCGCGCGTGCGCGTGCACGTGCGCGTGCACGGCGGCGGGGCGCCGCCGCCCGCGCTGGAAACGTGCCGCGCGCTGCGGGCCGCCGCGCTCGCCTTCCTCGCCGCCCTCATCCTCACCCGCCCCCGCGCCGCGCTGCCCCGCCGAAGGGGGGCGACCCCCGGCAGCCCCCGCACACACATCCACGCTGCCGATTTTAGGGGCTTCKTCTGGGCACCGTGGTTTTGGCCGGCGGGCAGCTGCGGAGAGCGCAGTGCCCATCCGCGCAGCGCGCCCGGGCAGKCCGGGGCAGGAACAGCCCCACGCTGTGGGGAGAGCACACGCGGGTCCCGCTTCCTGGGAGCGTGCAGGGTAACCAGCCCTGCGGATGGCTCTGCTTGCCGCRGGTCAGCCCTCCAGGCTGGATGTCTGAGATGGAGCTGGGGGCTGTAGCCGGTGCAGGGAGAGCAGGCACCTCCAACGTGCCCTTCTGCACCCGTGTCCATGCAAGCATCAAGAAAGCTGCGGACGTTGCCTAGATAGGAGCTTAGCGCCAGGATGAAGAACATGGAGAGCTCCTGGGGCCAGCTGAGTGAAAGGGAGTTTGGCCCCTGCGAGAGGACGCAGCCCCCACAGCTGATCCCTCCTGTGGGGACACGGGAGCTCGCGGGACGTCTGGAGGTCCTAGCAGAGGGGAGTCTCCGCCGCGCCTGCTTCCCTTCCCGAGCTCATCCTCCTGCACATCTTCAAAGCGTGGAAGCAATGGCCAGAGGGAGACTTGGCTCCCCAGAGCAGAAGGCCTCATCCTGGGATTCCTCTTGACCCAAATGGGAACGGAAATTGAAAATGGCCAAAAGATGCAAAGCATGATCCCGGACAGCTGGAGACTTTGCAAAAGGAGTTCAAGGAACATCTGGAAACTGCAAGCGGTTTAGAARAGGTCACCTGCATACAAGGATAAAAGGCTTCAGTGTCCAGAGAGAGTGAGAAATTCTCCTGGAAGATTCCCAGTTTAAAATGGCCAGATGGATCAAAGAGGTGATCATCAGCATGACTATCACGGAAAAGAATGTTTTCCAGAAAATAAGAGGCATAAGGAAAGCTTGGGCCAGTTTTCTAGCCAAGATGTACCACAGTAAAGAGTTAAGGAACTAAAAAATCACCATCCCTCTRAAAAAATAGGAAACCAGAGGTTTGCAGGTCACCCCAGAGAAAGCAGCCTCCAGCTGCAGACGGGGCCCGGCAGAGCGCCGCCTCGCATCGAACAGGCCCCAGCCAAGTCCTTGCAAAAGCCTCCCGGTGCCCAGGAGACCCTCTGCAGAGGTTAAAGGAAGAGCCATGGGAAGCAGCACCGAGCAGCCGGCGTGACTGCTGTAGCTCCAGCGCTTACCTCCGAGAACGTGCAGATATTCGCGCGGGGCAGGGGGCTGCCGAGGTGCCTAAGGCCCCGGTGAGCAGGGCGGAGCCCTGCAAGCACCGCTGTGCTCCATGGCAAACACGTGGAAAGGGGAACGTCCTGCTGCAGAGAGACACGGAGTGGGATGTGAGGCAGGGGCCAGGTGAGGCTGGGCGGAGCAGAGATCCGTCCCATGTCTTTGTGCAGAACGGCCAAAAACTAAAAGCCTCAGAAGTCTGCCCTGGGGATTCGGGCACACGGGCACTAGGTGACGTGGCGGGTGTTCAAGCGGAGGCACAAACTCTCCTGGAGCAGCCGGGGCAGAGCGGTGCTTGTGGCAGTGCCGAGCAGCTCAGCGGCCTGAAACACAGGAGAGCGCGGGCGCCTCCAAACTTGGGAAGGCCGGACCGCTAAAAGCGGAGCGCGGGAGCAGGAGGCCAGGCGAGACGGGAGCTGGGTGGCCGCGCGCGGCTCTCCCTGTGGRATGGGATGAGCCGCGGCTCCCGGGCCGCCTGGGAAGGCCCTCCTGGGAAGGCCACGGGAAGCAGCTGCTCTGCGCTAGGGAGTCCGCCTGCCTCCCGGGGCAGGAAAGTTAAAGGTGGCTCCGGTGTGAGGCAGCTCCCAGCTCCAGCTGGTTCCATGGCTGCCTGGGGAGCCGGGGCCTTTGGAGACACCTGCCGGGGGGTGGTCAGGGCTTGTGGGGGGACACAGGAGCCATCCCCACCTCTGGGCCAGATGCTTTTGAGAAACAAGCAAACACGCTTTCTGCTGAGGTGGTCCTTGCTCAAGCCGCTCGAGAGAAGCCGTGGCCACGCGTGAGGATGTCTCAAATGCCACCAGCGGGTTTGGCTTGGTCTTTTGCAAGAGCTGTGGAGGCTGCACAGGGGCAGGTGGGAGCAGAGCTGAAACATTCCTCGGTGAAGCGGTGGCCGGGGSGCTTATGCAGCGCACCGGGCTGGCGGGGAAGGTAGAGGGCGGCACGCGCCCCTCGGGAGAGCTGCAGCGCTCACAGGGCTTGTGGGCGCTCGCCGAGACCATCGGGTAAGGAGCACTCCGCTTGCCTGTGGCTCGCGGTAAGTTCAAGGCTGCTCCCACGGGAAAGGGAGCCCTTCCAAGGGCAGGAGCTTACCTCCGCCACCTGACTGATGGCAGGGAATTTCCACTGAGAAAAAAATCAAAATTGCAGCTGCAGAGACCTGGCCCGCTCCCCAGGCCCTCRCGCAGCTGCAGCTCTGCAGGACTCTGCTCCTGATACAGAGGGCTTGTTTGTAGACTTGCTAACATTGCAAAACCCCRGTCCAGGTAGGGTGGCGGGGGAGAGCGTGTCAGCGGCCGGCAGAATGAGAGGCAGCAGTTTCAGTGCAAATCCTTCCCAGGGCCGAAGTCTACAGCAGAYGTTCACAAGTGTCTGCCCATGAGGAACGCTACAGCGAGGGGAGACTGTGCATGCCTGCAAGAGCTCTGGGGGCTGAGGATTCCCACGTGCAAGCTGGCCTGGCCTTGAGGAAAGCAGCTTTGCACCTGCACCGTTACCTGCACATCTGGGCACCAGTGGAGCGGCAGTGATGCCGAGCCCGGGCGGCAGGTATGGGGCTGTAACAAGCAGTGTGGTCGATGGGGAGTGGAAGATCAGATTGTTCGAGGGGTGAAAGTAAGGAGGAGATGCTCGTTTCCTCTCATCTCACTTGCCAATGTGCAAATGCTTCTAGTTCACCCAGGGGAACTGCAGAAGGGCAACACAACACAGCATATACGTGCTCCCAAATGAGCCTGCATGGAAAAGCGCACCCCAAAGAGAATTGCAGGAGGGTGCAATGGAGAATGAGCTGGAAAACCCTGTGGAGAACCAAGGGAAACGTGTTCTGTCGTGGTAATAAAGTTTGGAGATAAAGACAAAATATTATGGAAAAGATGCAGTATATGGAAACAACCTGGGTTGAGCCTTGTTGGAAGATGTTTGGAATGGAGGATTTGGGATTAGTATTTTCCAAATGGTGGATGATTTGAATCTTACTGGGTTTATGTACACTTTGAAAAAAAAATTAGCCAAGCTAAGGGAAAAATGCTGGGGTGAGATTTAGGAAGGATGTAGAGAACATGTTCAGGAAATTAATACTCCTTCTGCAAGGAAAGGACCTATAGAGACACAGAGACTCCGTGAAGCAATATCTCACAGTGCTTTTAATGGGTGGCATTGATGGTGAATTCGACTTTCTGTCTGAAGCAGATTCTGGTAGCTGCAGACTATTTCACAAGCTGCCTTGAAGCGCATCCATTGGGACACTCATGCCAGATGTCCTAGTGAAAAATGTCCTCTCCCTCCAAGACCTAGGAGGTATGGGAGGATTGCACAAAGCTCAAGGGAGAAACACTGAATCCGGAATATTTCAGCAGATCTGTGAGGTGGTTGGGATCCCTAAAACATCTCCATGTGACCACAGCCTGAGGGACTAGCGGGATGTTTTCTTGCAGACTTTGGCAGTTAACTGGATTCCTCCTCAAAATTGCATCGAGCRGAAAGACTCAGCATATCCCACCCTGCTAGGAATAACAACT